ATGAATTGAATCACTGTCCCCATTTGGGCCAAATCTGAGTTGAATTGGGCCTGCTTCGCACACCCTTAGTAATTAGCTACCAGAACAGGCTCCCAAACAACATAGTTGCTTTTCTAAAATCAAATTTAAATCAGCCATGGAAAAGTCCAGCAGATATGGTCTCGTTCATCCACAAGTTATTAAGCTTAGGAAAGGGTGCTTGGTGAAACTCTGGCATATATATGCAAGAAGTCACAGTATATTTTCATATTTTATTTTCTACCTTTAAAGTCTAAAAACATATATTATGAAACTTAGGCCATGAGCAGATGTACTGTTTGAAGTTCTCCAAAGAGTAAAGGTGCAGATGTTCATGGCTGAAAAAGCACTTCAAAAATGGCTAAAGTGCTTCATTTTTAAATGCTTTCTGAACTGTCTGCACACTCTAGCAGTCTTCTGGCATCCCACAATGTTCTGCTCCCTCCGCTCTGTTCCCCCACAGAGAGGTATAGAGGAATGGGGCAGATGGCCAGTGCTTGGCTATCCTTGGCAACCTCCAGAGGCCAAGAGGCATGACTCCTGTTCTCCAGCCTCCTGGCATAAGAGTACTACTGCTACTTGCCTTTGTGGCCATTTTGAAGCATGATGAGAGCTAAGGGAAGAGCTCACTTCTGCATGGTGCTGAAACTCAAGAGTTTGAAGAACTCCAGTATCTGGTGTGCTTTAAATTCATGTCTGTCCCTTCCCTTACTGTTCTACTCTAATTATTTTGTGGGGGAAAAATAACAAATTGGGAGAAACCCAAGAAAAGAAAATGCAGAATCTAAATTACCCTAACAATACCATCCTTTAATTCTCTCTTATAGTGAACAAATACTAAGGTATAGATTGTGGTTGACCTTTTGTTAAAGTTCTCTTGTGAAGAAAGAGCATTATACCTCTTGTCCAGTTCTTGCCGTTTCAGACTGTGCATTCTTCTGAAAGTAGGGCATCCTCTTGTGCTCTGGCTATTTCAGAGTCACTGTGGGGAGTCGGATCTGTAGCCTTATTCCTTTTCACATATTTATTATGATACAACTTTTAACTGACTTTGCAATCTAGATAACTTTTTTTTAATATACCTTTTTTTGGGGTTGTGTGCGATTGGAGAGGTTCTTGTAGATTTGTATGCAGTATATAGAGAATACCTTCATGGAAAAAGAAGCCTACACATACTTTTAAAATTAAAACCCCAAGTATGGGGAATAATTACTTAATTTGGTAAAATGGTTACAGTACATTTACTACTAGTGTATCTTACATTGGCAGATAAGAAAAATGGATCATCAAATGTCACAAGAAGTTTTCTGTCTCTTCTGCACTTCTACAAAAATATCTTTTCCAAAAATGTGATGTCCAAAATATTTTATTGTCATGTTTAATTAAAAGAAATTCTTCGTTATCATTAGGTAGCTTCCTGCATTTTAAAAAATGTATAAAGAGAATGATCTCATAGAAATTTGATTTGTTTTTGCTATTAAATTGCAGTGATAAGTATGATTACAGACTTCTAGTGTTCACATAACTATGAATTCTTGCAGTAGCTGTTCACTAAGTTATTTCACATTTGTTCATGAACTATGGTTCCCTAAAGCAGTATTTAACTACTTCTAGTTCAGTTCTGACCCAAATAAATGGATAGCCCTGCTTTAGTGGAAATAATTATTTTGGCCCTTCATAATGTATGTAAGAAGTCACTGTGAATGAGGTATCTTGTTTTGTCAGCTCTTGTTTGCATCATAAATATGTTCAGAAACAAGCAATAACTTTTTGTCACTTTTAGATATCAACTTGTGGAAAGGAAATAAAATGGTGATCGTGTTAGTTCAGGAAACCAAAACAATTAAAATACTGGCAAGAAGACATAAGTTATACTTTTTAATGGACAAATTAACAAGCTGTTAATAATTTCCTTTTGTTTTATCATGGAAGTCAATGGGTGTTTGCCATTCACTGGACTAGGCTAGGATTTCACTTATATTTTGTTTTCCACTGGGAAACATCCTTGATATGCCTCCTGTGAGTTTTCTTTTAACAAAAATATAAGCTTCCATGTTGATTATCACTGCAATAGAAAACATATGCATAGAAAAGCAATTTCATTAATTCATAGTTTCTTATTGTTCTTTAAAAGATATACCTGTAGTGCATCTCTAGATTTCTACAGAGATTCAGAGATTAAATATATTGTAAAAAACAGCCTATTTCGTTAGTAGTATTTGGCAAACATGCTACCACAGAAATTCCCATTTCTAAAAAGACTAATTAAAGAACAAAAAGGTAAATACATTTAATTAAAGAGAGAGAGCTAAAATGTAGTTGTCCTTTATATTTTTAAGTACAACTCTTCATAGTCAGATGCCTTTTTTGCATCCATATAAACTCCTGGTGTTTGAAATGAATGTCCTATTGTCGATTGTTATATGAAAGTTCTGGAAGATCAAACCATATTCTTTTTCTTTGTTGATTTTTAAGATAAAGATTATTGTCCTTCATATCAAAACGGCTTAGTAGTGCTTATCCAAACTGGTAAATCATCTTGGTGTTTCAAGTAGGCAGTCATTTGTATCTGTAACTGATAGTGGATTATCATTTTGGATTCCATTAATCAAAAGTAACTTTTTGCTTCAGGCAAGTTAAAAAAAAAAATGGGGTGTGTGTGTGTGTGTGTGTGTATTTTAGCTATATGTCATTAGGCCTAGGGCTTCTTTTGGTCTAAGAACTGTCATCACTTTTCATATTCTAATGTAATAGCTGACTAGTCAGTAACATTTAGTGGTTCATTTTCTGCAGAGTTACCTGGGAGTTCTAGTGTTTAACAAATGTCCTAGTGATATGCTAATGCTTATTCAGTATAAATAATCTCAGTATCACTCCAGTTGGCCAAATGACATTGTCCATGTACCTGATGTGTGCCCACAAGAGGGTCATACGATACAAAAGTGAGCTTTTGAAGCTTTGGGCCTGCTTCTTTGTCTTTATTTTAAAACTCACTTAAATTGTTTGAAAATTTGGTCTAGATTTGCTGTAGCTGACTTGCTGTGTTTTCATATTTGACTGAGGTCTGACCTTTATACTGTAACTAATATTTTTAGAAGCATTCATGTATTTTGGCAACTTCCATTTTTTGTCAAGCACCTTGAGGACTACCTAGTTGCTGAGTACTGTGGCATTCCGAGGTACTGAGTACTGCAGTTTGCACTGAAGCTAGGTGGGCTGGCTGCTCAGTATGTCAAGAATCAGCCACCCAGTGGGTGCATCCACATGTGCACTTTACTGCAGCATTGACTAATTGGCTCCACAGTAAAATGTCACTGTCTACACAAGTGCTGGTATTAGGGGGCAGTAAATTAATTAACTCCAACTTAAGATATTACTGTCAGGGACACTACTATTTTACGGCGGAATCGTTTACTGCACAGAAATGCATGTGTGGACGGTGACCAGGACCACAGGAGTTTGAGCCAGGATGGAACAGCTCTGGTAGGAGGCTCAGAGGGTCAGCCACATGGCTTCACAATTTTGGCATGTTCATGCCCCAGTCAGCCTCTCTGCCACCTGACACTGACACCTGGAGCCTGGGACTGACCCCCCACGAGCTTGCTGTCAGCCCAGGGCCACTCCGCTCCAGCTCAAACTGTAGCAGTCCCTGGCGCACATGTAAATGCTGTGACGAGCAGTTTTCTCCAGCTTGAGTTTATCATGTTGCCTTAATGACACATGTAGATGCACCCAATTAGTTTGAAGTGGGGAAGAAAAAATTAGGTATGCAAACCCAATGGAAATTTCAGTATGTAGTTCTTCACCCATTTATGTATAAAAGTTCAAGATCCAAAAGTAACTATAGATAGAAAAATACAACATTTCCCAGTGAATCACAAGGCTGATGTTGGATTGACTTACTTCACTTAATTGTCCTACCTCATCTACCTAGAACCAGAACATATATAGATTATATAGTTGTTGTGGCTGAAGCTAGTGTCTGCATACTGATCTGATCATGTGCGATTCAAGAATGTGTTAAATTTAACACACAAAGTAGAAAATATATATATACATTTGTGGGGGGAACTATTATTGATGACAGAGTTTTCAGTTGGGTATGTTAAATAAAAATTATTCTGAAATGGTAATTAAGATTACTTAACAAATATTGTGTAGGTGTTAAGCAATTAGTACACACATAATCATTTATATTACTTCCCTGATCCATAGTACAAGTAAAACTGTAATGAAACCTGCATGACCTTAGGTATGCATGTGTTACTCAACAGGTAAGGCTCTGCTCTGTTGTTTAAATAGTATTTTCTTATTTTAAAATGTTTTTATTCTCTTATTTTTTCTTCTTTCCTACTATCTCTGATGATGAAGGATACTCAGAAACCTTTTTTGCAACCTCCCCTGTCTTGCATACTGTCCGTCCAACATTCTATAAGGGTATTGTGATCCTCTTTATCGTTATAAATACAGTAGACACCGTTGAAATAAAAAATCCCATGGAGGGCCTGCAGTGAGGCATTTACAGAGCCTGTGAAATAATGCATGGAGTCAAGTAAAATTTGTCCCTGCATTGACAATGCCTCCTTTCCTCCATTGTCCGATAATGAGAAACCTTTAGAATGTTCTTCACATTTCAGCTATCTGCATTGTACCTCAAGAGATGTAAATGATAATATTTTCTAGGGCTTTGGCAATTTGGTATTATAAAGTATTTGGCAATCTTAGAAATATAGGACGTGCATGATAGAACTCGGAGATATAGTTCTACTTCCTGTTTAATAGTGTGGTAACTGCTTAGCATTCAGTGACCATACATGCTAATGCAGTAATGCAGTCACTAGTTTTCAGTAATGGAAACAATGATAAAGCATCCTTTCTATATATATGGGCCAAATTAGCATAGTTATTTCTGAAATAACATTTGATTATGTGCATATAGTCCCAATTTCATCTTTTGCTTTGTTTTTCTGTTGTGTATTCAGTGCGACCAGTTTATCCAAGGATCAGAAATGTTTCTGCAGCTGCTGCTGAGACCTATGCCAATATCAGTTGGGAGTATGAGGGACCAGATCATGTGAACTTTTATGTTGAATATGGTGTAGCAGGCAGTAAGAAGCCATTTCATTGAATTATTCTGAGTGCTGAGAAAAAATTGTAAAGATTTCAGTAACTGAGAATGATCCTATACTAATCTAGCTTTATTAATGATAGTTTTAAAATAGTTAGAACATTTTTCTTAGTTTGCTCTAGCAGATTGAGTCGTAATTCAAATAATTTTATTATAACAAAAGCCACTGCTCTTCAGGTTACTTGATGCCTAGTTTAAAAATCAGCCTTTGTTCCTTTGTATTATTTTATCAACTGTTGTCAACAAGCGCTCCTAAAACCCTTAATTGCCTAAAACCCTCAATTATGCAGTGATTAGAATATGACTTAAAACCTAATGTGACATATCTATTAAATTATGTCCTGGGAAAATTGCATCGATAGAGCCTAATTCAATAAAAAGAGTGAAAAAGAACCAAACAATAGATCCTCTTTGTAATATTATGCCTTAAAATAGCAACAGAAGAACAGCAAAATTGTGTATTTGAAACAGCTGACATCTATACTCACTTTTTGCATGTAGTAAAAACAAAAATAAAGCTCTAACATCAACACTTTGTATTTCTATATTAAGATGCAGATGATGAATTAGTAAAGTGGAGATAATTCTCACCTTTCACATCTTTTTATATGGTGGGCACTAAAGACAGTATAATTGTCAGTCTGCAGATTAAAAGGATAACATTTCCTCTTCATTTTGCTCATGGTATAAGTTGAGTTATTGTTAGAAAAATGTCAAACATGGGAAAATATATTCAAAACAACCAGGATATATTTTGATTCGATTTTGAAGTAGATTTTTTCTCAAAAAAGTAAATATTAATCCAAAGTGTAGCGACATAATCAAATTAAGTGAATAAACTTTTTCTCCCTATAGTCTATAATTGCAAATGCAGTACTGTTTCTTTATAAAATAGATGCAAAACAATATTATATAGTGCAATGGAACAAACATATAAACTAGTTGTCATTATTCAGGCAGTTTTTCTTCATGTTGCATGCAGTATAGTATTTGCAATCATTATTTATCTAAAACTATATTACCTTTTAGAAACAGCAGTCATTTTCTTCTACAAATCCAAAATGTAGAAAGTATTCTGTCTATAAACTTGGAGTAACAGATAGTAAATTAAAATATTCCAATTTGTTGTTTTCCTAAAATTTTTATAGGCAAAGAAGATTGGAAAAAAGACATTGTAAATGGTTCTCGGAGCTTCTTTGTGTTAAAGGGTTTAACACCAGGAACAGCATATAAAGTCCGGGTTGGTGCTGAGGGTCTGTCTGATTTTATGAGTTCAGAGGATGTATTTGAGACAGGTCCAGGTGAGGCATGCCATACCAGTTCTGTCTCACATTAAGAATTGTGATATGCCAGGTGCTGAAATATTGAATTGCTACTAATGGGGATATGTTATAGCTAAAACATATTGATCATATCTTTTTCTAAACTAATGCTAAGAACTCTCCCACACATGCCAGCTTATCTACTGTGCAGAGTATGAATGTTTTCATCCTATAGTTTACTTCGTTTCTGTGCCATTTATTTTGTGAGCCAAATGCTCACTATTCATGCGTCATCTGTGCGCTGTGCATTTTGGATTAAATATTTTGTTTGCTTCTAGTGGGTTTTTAATTGAATTAGAATGTATGATGCTATAATTGAATAACATAGTGCACTGTAAATACAACAGAGTACATTTTTTTAAAATGATGTGGATATCAGCAGCTTGGTTACCAAAATCTTAATCTAAAACATTTGAGGTATCAGAAGTTTAGGTTTCTGATTTACATTAATAATCCATAAAATGCATGGATAATATGTGCCAATGGAGTGAATGATTGTTAGGACATTTCTAGGTATAAATTCATTTTTTTCATGAAACTGACATTTTTCTGGAGTTTTTAAACATAACCTATACATTACCATATTTAGAAAAACAATTGGTCTCTTAAATTTTCCATACATATTTTTTCAAAGGAAAATAATAGCCAGATTTCAGCGCAAGAAAATGTGTAGCATTTACATCTTCAGAAAAGAATGAGTGATGCCTGTTTACTTAACTCAGAAAAAAAGGGCTTTATTAGAAGCATTTTGATGTCATAAAGAATGCAGTGCTGCCTCCACAGCATGTTCTTGATAAAAGCCTCGTTTTGTATGTATTTGCTAACCACTTCTGCCCATTCCAAGCACTGTAGCCTGCAGATACTTGTTCTGTCAATGTCACTTTGGTCTCACCTGCTATCTAAACGTTATGATTTAAGGAACTAGATTTCCAATATATATACAGTTGTTTGAGCAATGCAAAATAATGATAAACAGAAAATAATTAAAATGATAGTTTGACAACTTTCTGAAATCATAATGTTTTTGTTTCATTCCGTGTTTATAGTACGTTGGTGGTCATTGTGTTATAATGTTGCTATAGGAAAGCTTTAAAAAGTAATTCCCAGCTAACATTTACATACTCAAAATAGGTTTTTATTAGTCACCTTAAGCTAGGGAAGGATGATGATGTCAGAAAACAGGCATGCAACTATGCATTGAATGCCAGTAGCCTGCAGGATGTGGAGAAGGAAAATTATACTGCAACTCATTGAAAGCAAGATGGTCAAAACTTTCCCAGAAAATACCCAGCCTAACAATAAAATGTCAATAGATCATATAGTCAAGATGCTTACTGTGTCCCCTTGATTAGGTCAAGTGTATTGACTCTGTTTAGCCTTCCAAGGCTTGAAATATTGTAGACAATGGACCAAGGAAAGCTTTGGTTCACAGCCTTGCTTTCAATTGCCTCATCGCTTCATTTGTACAACAGAATCGTTGCAAAAAGAGTTCTATATCACTTCGTGAAATCTGTGTCAGTTTTTGAATTCCAGACCAGTGTTGGTGAATATTGAAGATATACAGTGGGATAGAAAACCAAGACACCCATTTAGAATATATTGTTATCATGGAAGAAAAACCCAAGATAATGAGGCCTCTGCCATAAAATGAATATTTGTTCTAGCAAGCATTCCTATAGAGCATCTTTATATAATATATGATTTTATCTTCTTGAGTATGTCTAGTATAGTGGATTACATTGACTTTCATGTATTAGCAGCTTCTGTGTTCACCAGGAATAAATATATTTTTGCCTAAAGCAGATAATATATCTAAAATAAACAGTGCCCATTTTTAAAGTAATACTGGACTTTAGAAACCCCTTCCTATCAGATATTCTACATATCAAAGAATACAAGAAGCTGCCTAAGTAAGTTTTCATCTTTACTCTGTCATCTCTCTTGCATGTGTCTATGCACGATTGTTTTGTTTCAGACTCTCTTCTTCTCACACTGGAATGTTCAATGTGTCTGTGCACCTTGCTACAATACTAGTTAAAAATGTTAATACCTCATTATATATGCATGTTTGCAAAAAGCAATATCACTCTAATCTTAACCCAAAAATTCTTTGGTTGGCTTATGATACTGAAAGTTTACCTTTCTCTTTAAAACAGAATAAATGGGGCTTGTTTTATGTTTATATGTATTAGAAACCTGTAAGGCATTAAACAACTTTCAAAAAATCAGAATACAGAAGTCCTACCAAAGCCTGTGAGGACTGCAAAATTCAGTTCCATACAGCACAAACCAAACTACACACCAAATCACACTCTTGCCAGGTAAAAGCACCAGAAGAGGGTGTAGATGCAAAATCACCCCAGTATTACCAGATGGAATGAGCAGCAGGGCATGTGTCCAGCCTTCATAGTTACTCTTGAGTTAGCAATGAAGATCCTTAGGTATATAGAGCATCACTGCACCAGAACACAGTGCACCAGCTCTGTACACCCTAGTTTCTAAATGGAAAGCATTATGGCTGAGGGTGGGCTGGGCAGCTAACCCCAAAAATTATTTTTACTGACAGTTTGCACATTTTTACTGACAGAGAAAGTTGTTTACTGACATGTTTTTACTTTCAGTAAAAAGTAAAAATTCTTGGGTTGGCAACCGCATGTGACTGCAGCCACAGGGGTCCCCTACTTACCCCATGTCCTGACACCCCCTACTACACCCTGCATCCTGCTGCCCCAGTGTGGCCTCTGCTGTCCTGGCTACCCTTGTCTTGGCACAGACCCTTCCTATTGCCTCTCCCTTTCCTGGCCTGCAGCTCAGCCCTAGCTGCACTGTCCCCTCCTTTGATGCAAGGCTACTGGAGACAGGAGATGAGCATAGAGCCAGTGGCTAGACCTTGTTAGAGAAGGGGAGAGGTCTAGCAGGCTCCACTGAGCTGCAGAGCTCTGACAAAAGCTCCATGCATGCCAGGTATCTTGCTCCCCCTCTAACAGCAGCTGGCACTGCTCTGCTCAGTCTGTCTTTCAGTGCAGTTCTAGCTTTTTTCCTGGCGTGAAGGTTAAAACTGCAGTGGCTCCCTGTTTTATGGAGGGCAAGACATTTTTACAGACTTTTATAGACAGGTGCTTTTAGGGTGTTTTTTTATGGGGTGTCCATCCATAAATTTGCAGATAGTTAGCAACCCTGGGGTAAGGAGTTCTCTTTTGAGAAGATCTGGCTTAGTATATCTTAGCACAGTGCTGCCTGAGCCTGCACATTGACTCAGGAATTTCAATGTCACCTTCTACCCCTTGCTGCCAGACATCCGGTGGAGCTGCACTAGCAGCTACCACTACACACCTGGTCTAGGATTTATTTTAAAGTGAGAGAGTGGCAGAGTGGTAATTTCTGTGATGCCTTGGCTCTGCTTCCTCAGAATAATTGCATATTCCCCATCTCCTGCTTTGGGAGGAGCCACACCAATAAAGCCCCTTTCACAGAAGAAGAGAGAGGATTATGCCATTATGACCTCACAGAAGCAGAAAGAAGGGAGAGTCATGTGGGAATTTTGAGACATAACCTGGCCCTAATCTACTAAAACAGCCTCTGAGGTCCCACTGATTTCAGTAGAAATCCTGGGTAATCCACCTCATTGTAAATGTTTTATATTATGACATGAGGCAGAAGAATAATTGAGGTGCAAGAATTGAATTCTAATTGAAAATTCCCTAAGATTTCAGCATGGGGGCGGGGGAGGGGGAGAACCTTCTGTATGAACATCTCCTACTCCTGCCAGCAGGACATCAGGAAGTAGAGAATGGGAGGAAGCAAGAGGCTGAAACCAGATTAATTCACATCCTCCTTTTTCCCTCAGTTGATTTTTCTCCTTTTGGGGAGCTCATTCCTTAATGGAAGCCCTCAAGAGTTGCTTGTTGTAACATCAGTCTAAGTTTCCACATGGTAGAATAGGTCATAAACTTCACTGAGCTCACCAGCCTAGATGAATAGGAAATTGGACGTACCACTACCCTTCAGTAAACTTCTTGATATTTTCTCTGTTATTTTCTGTGAGTTCTGAACATCACCTTCTAGCTTGTATGGTAGTCAGAGATAAAACCAAGGAAAAGCTGACCCAATCATGAACCATTCAGTCTTTCAAAAGTTAAATGCAAAAGCATCACAATCAAAATACATTATATTCTAAGGTTTGGGCTGGAAAAGAAGAGAATGCCTAATAAAACTTTATATGGGGCTCCAATGCTGACTAGTTTAAACTGAATCTGAGGACCTGAAAACCTGCTCGTTCCTTTGTTTCATGCCACCTGGTTTACATTAACTAATGAGGCTTTCCTTTTTAATTTTTTTTTAGAATACAAATGAAAAATGAAAGTGTTGGTATAAATGTAATAGACAATTCCATTTTATCAGATGGTCTTGGGAAGGTGGTAGTGGACATGTGTAAGCTATGCATATGTTTCAGAACTAACTGCAGTTCAGTAACTTCAAATGTTATTCAAAAGTAAGCTTTAAATATATGATGTTGGAAACATGCCACTTTTAAATGCTGAAAATATCAACATGCAATATTACTACCCTGGCTGTCATTATTGCTAACTAACATTCACTGTTACTGCATTAATAAAATATATGATTATATGTTATTAATGTGAATAATAACAAAATATGCAGTTAAATACAGCAGTGAATCTAATTTTTTTTTTTAATTTATTCTCTAGCCATGGCGAGCCGGCAAGTTGACATTGCTACTCAAGGATGGTTTATCGGTCTAATGTGTGCAGTTGCTCTTCTTATCTTGATTTTGCTGATTGTTTGCTTCATAAGGAGGAACAAAGGCGGCAAATACCCTGGTAGGATATGCTTCAGTGTCAATTAAAATGATTCCAGTTGTTTAATTGGTAATGCTTAAAACCCAGATTTCAGTTCTGGAAGATAAAGTAAATCGCTAGTAGTTTAATTTTAATTTTAACTGTATGCAAGGTAAAATTAAGGTTACATACAGGCGCTATGTTTCTACTAGAAAAATTGCTGCTCTACCAGTAGAAATTGCCAGCGTACAGGTGTTCATTCAGTTTGTCACAAGGAAATATGCCTTTTTACAAGAAATATCTTGACCTCTGGAAGATCATAGGAAAGTAGGGCTGGAATGAACCTCACAAGGTCATCTAGTTCGGCCCCTTGCTCAAGGTAGGAGCATCTTGCTAAACCATCCCAGCCATCTCACTAAACCATCTGTTCAAGCTGCTCTTGAAAATTTCCAAGAATGGAGATTCTACAATTTCTCTTAATCTCCAACCTCAACCTGAATTTCATCTGCTGCAGCTTGACTCCATTGCTCTTTGTCCTGTCCCCTACAGCCAGAGAAAAACTTATCTCCATCCTCTCTATAATCGCCCTTTAGGTATATGAAGACTTATCAAATCCCCCCCCCCCCCCCAGTCTTCACTCCTACAGACTGAATAACCATAGCTCTTTCAGCCCTTTCTCATAAATCATGCTTCCCAGGTCTCTAATAATTTTTGTCACACTACTGGACTCGCTCCAATCTGTCCATATTTTTTAAGTGTGAGCCCCAAACCTTGACACAGTACTCTAGAGGAGGCCTCATCAGTGCTGAATAGAGTCAGTTCTCTTGATTTGCAAGAGACATACTTGTTCAAGCAACCCAATATAATCTTGCTTTTTTGCAACAAGGGCACATTGTTGGCTTATATTCAGTTTATAGTTCACTGTAATCCCCAGAAAACTGCAGTATAACTAGTCACTCCATAGTCTGTAGTTGTGTATACAGTTATTCAATCTCAAGTGCAGGATTTGCACTTGTACTTGTTGAATTTTGTTTGATTGATTGCAGTCCATATCTTCAGTCTCTTTAGGTCATTCTGGATCCAGGTCAGCAATTCCACCCAACTTGGTATCATGCACAAATTTCTAAGTGTGCACTCAATCCCATCATGCAAAATATTAATAGAGACATTAAACAATACCAGACCCAGGACAGGTCCCTAAGGAACCCCACTTGATCCCCCCCTCCCAGCTACACATTGAGCCATCTCTGACTGCTCGTTGAACACAATGGTATAACCAGTTGTGTGAGCCTTGCACTACTTCCATCTAGTCTGTATTTCCTAAGCTTGTTAATGAGGATGTTATAGGAGACAGTGTTGAAAGCCTTGCTAAAGTCAAGGTATATCACATCCATTGCTCTCCCCCCTCCATAGAGCATGTCACCTTATCATAGAAGGAAATCAAGTTTTTCAGGCATGACTTGCTCTTGGTGAATCCATGCTTGCTCTTCCTGATCACCTTGTTCTCCTCTAGGTGCTTCATAGTAGATTCCTTGAGGACCTGTCTCATGATCTTTCCAGGTGTCCAGGCCAGGCTGTCTGAGCTGTGATTTCTTGCACCCTCCTTTTTCCCTTTTTTAAAGATGGGCACTAGATTTACTTTTTTCCAGTTATCCAGGATCTTGCCTGAACTTTTGAGTTCTTAAAGAGCCAGTTGCTCTGAAATTACCTCAGCTAAATCTTTCAGTATTTTAGGGGTTCATCCCATCCAACCCCGCTCACTAGAAAGCATCTAGCTTATCCAAGTAACCCCCAACCTGTTCTGCCATTCTAGGCTGTTGACTTCTGCCATATATTTGCTACCTACCATGCTTGTCATCTGGTAGCTTCCTCTATCTGTGAAAGCTGAAGTAAAAAAAGACATGAAACACTTCAGTCTTCTCTGCACAATCCATAGCTAGGTTGTCTTCTATAGTCTGTAAGGGAACTATGGTTTCTTTGGCCTTCTTCTTACTCTTGACATACTGGTAGAATCCCTTTATATTACTTTTTACACCCCTTACCAGTTTCAACTCAAATCATGCTTTGTCCTTCCTAATTTTCTCCCTGCTTACCCATGTGATACTCTTATACTCTTTTCTAGTGCTATGATCAAGTTTCCATTTTTGTAGGATTCTTTTTTGAGTTTCAACTCATTGAAGAGATTTCTGTCTAGCCAGGTTGGTTTCTTGTTGCAATTTCCATTCTTCTGTTGCAACAGGAGAGTCTGCTCCTGCACCCTTTTGAGGACCTCCTTAAAGTACAGCCAGCTCTCTTGGACTCCTTTTCCCCTCAGACTTGCCTTTTAGGGGGTCCTGCCTACCAGTTCCCTGAGTTTGTTAAAATCAATTTTTCTAAAATTCAGTGTCCTTATTCTGCTGCTGTCCTGCCTTCCTCCCCTTAGGATCTTGACCTTTATCATTTTGTGGTCACTGTCACCCAAGTTGCCTTCCACCTTCACATTCTCAACCAATTCCTTCCTGTTTGTGAACAGTTAATCGAGACGAGCATCCCTCCCCCTTCCCCCCCCATGTGGCCTCTCTACCATCTGTGTCAGAAACCTATCCGCAACACATATCAGGAATTGCTAGATTGCTTATGCACTGCTGTGTTTCTCTCCCAGCAGATATCCTGATAATTTAAAGCATCCCGTGAGAACCTGCTCTTGAAATCAGAAAGATTCCATCAGTTGTTTAAAGGCCACATCCACCTCCTACTCCTCCTATAGCAAATGCCCACCATGATATCCCCCATGCTGCTCTCCCCTTGGACCTTTATCAGAGGCATTCAGCAAACCTACCTTCCACTTCATATTGCACCTCAAAACATATGCAGGGCAACACCTCTTCCTTTTCCCCCTGCCTATCCTCCCTAGACAAGCCATACCCATCAATAACTATACTCCAGTAATGTGAACTAGTCCACCATCTCTGTAATCCCAATTACTTCAGAGTTTCTCTTGCAGAATACACACCAGTACACTACACTCCTCTGCGATCAGGAGTTGAGCAGCAATTTTGCCTGTGCAGAGTGAGGGGAAATCCATTCTAGAGAAGGCATAGGGGCATTTCCCCACACTCAACTCCTCGCAACTCCTGCCCCCCAGATCTTTCCCATGATTAGGGGGACACTGTTTTGGACAAGACCTGAACAGTGGTGGCAGCTGAACTCCTTGGTCCTACCTGGAGTAATAGGGAGGGTGAGATTGGAACGCTTGCATACTTCCTCTCTTGGAAAGATTTCTACTGTTGCAAATTTCCAATAAATTTGCAGAAATAGAAATTAACACCTGTCCATGGCTTAAGTCCCTTTTGAAGTCTATAGAAAAACTCCTGTTAGCCTTAGTGGGTGCATCCCCACTAGCAGGAAT